TGCAGGAACGTACTATTCTGCTGTGTTTTGGGTGTAACCATCCAGATGCTGTGTGATGTCTCTTGAATACCATACATTGGTACACCCCATGAAATGTTCACTGAACGTGCATATTAGTAAGCTCGTAGCCGCCAAGGTGCCTTCAGCTCCAGACAGACACCATTGAGCAGTTTTAAATGTTTTCAAGAGCAGAGAGCATTTGGTGCATTACGTGGCATTTGGTCTGGATGCGCTTATGAGGGTAAACCAGCCATCGCTGGGTGCCACCAGCTCAGAGACTCGAAGCCGCGTGCAGCTTCAGTGACTTCGCTGGGATGGTCCCATATAACTCCAGGGTAAAGCCATGACGCCCCCAGCCTCCGCAGCACTCTGGTCTGTGAAGACAGGAATGAAGCTCATGTGTCCCATTTATTAGAGGGCAGCAAGTTCCTGGAAAACCACAAGCAGGAAGGATGTAGGGGTATGGGAGGGAAGATGGTGGATGCAATGCTGCCTTGCTCCCCAGCAGCAGCAAGTCCGTTGCTGTATGCTGGGTCCCCTTGGGAAACAGTGCCTTGCACGGAGCTTGTACAAGCATGTCTAGGGTTCAAGAAAGAGGGTTATTTGACTCAGGATGGAAACCGTGGCTCGAGGCAGAGGAGTGGGAAAGTCTGCATATTTCACTGGGGAGGGGAAGGAACTTGAACCTCCATGGGGACTTGGTATGTGGTAACGATAGGTCTCTCCCTCCAAAAGCAGAGAGATCGCATGGCTGAAAACTGCAGTGAAGCAATTCAGCGCTGGGAGAAATAAGGTGTAAAGGGGGACGAGGAGGAGAGTGCTTGATAGCTGCTCTGGGTGTAGGTGGCTTCTCCAGCCATGGGAGCCTCATCCAAGTGTCCCAGTTCCCCCAGCCCTATGAGGCTGGAGTATGAGCTAATGATGGCAGCACAGGTCCCCACTCAGGACCTCTGATCCTTCATTCCCACCTCTCCTCTTGGCTGCCCTTCATCCCTCACTGGAGAGCACCCACCTTCCACTGCCCTCCCTGTGCTCCCCATCCCCACCACCTGCGTGTCCTGGCCAGGGCGTTCACTGCTTTCTTCTCTTTCTTCTCCCTCCCTCACTCCCTGTCAGCCGGTGAGTAAGGCAGCATTGGGGTGCCTGCTGGTGTCTAACCTCAGCATGAGCCTTGCTCACGGCTTGTCTGCGTGCCCAGCCCAGTGCTGGGGTGGCACTTGCGTGTGTCGACAGGGACCCCGAGGTCCGTGTGTGTGCGTGTGTACTCACACCCACTCTAGCTGATGGGCAGCTGCTGCCTGTGCGGTGCAAGTCGGGCCAGTTTGAGCACTGCTTGTGCATATGGACCTTGTGTGTGTACACACACGTGTGCTGTGGTGTGTGCATGTGTCCCCCCTAGCCCTGGCAAAGGACCCTCATGGCTCTGCCTGCCACCTTGTCCCAGCGGGGTCAGCCCTCCTGCACTGGAACATGGATCCAGGATACCCCCCTTTGAGCAGCTTGTGTTTGCAGACAAATCTCCAAAATAGAGGGGGAAATGCTACTGGAGCTTGAAGTGCTTGGGGGTGAGGAAGAAATCCTGGACTGGTAGCTGCTGAGTGCAGGAAGGCCTGCACTGAGGGTCTTGTGTCTGCCAGACACCCCAGAAGCTGTGGATGCAGAAGGGCTAAGGGGAAGCTCATCCCATCCTTGGCCAGGAGGAGACCAGCCAGGGTCACTGGAGAAAGCATCACAGACATCTGATGTGTAAAATGTGGGGGGGAGCTGGGTGATCCCACCCTCTTTGCCTGGGGAGCACACTCCAAACAGACCTATGAGGACCCCCTATTCCAGGTGCTTACATCTGCTCCTTTCCTGCAGATCCTGCAGAAGCCAACTCATGAGCTGAAGCAGCAGCTGGCAGGCTACTCCAAGCGCGTGGCCAGCTCTGTCACCGAGCTCATCCAGGCGGCTGAGGCCATGAAAGGTGAGGAAGGGTCCTGCTCAGAGGGGCATCATCAAGGGCTGGGATTAGGATGGAGGGCTCAGCAGCTGATGGAGGAGTTAGGGCAAGTCAGAAATGAGGCCACACACAGGTTTAACCTGCCTTGCTTCCTGTTTTTTGTAGGCACAGAGTGGGTTGACCCAGAAGACCCCACTGTCATCGCTGAGAATGAGCTGCTAGGGGCAGCGGCTGCCATTGAGGCTGCAGCCAAGAAGCTGGAGCAGCTGAAACCAAGAGCCAAGCCCAAGGTAGTGGTGCTGAGCCTTGGCTGACCCCTGTGTTCAGCTTGGGGTGGGCTGGGGCCCTTCTGCCAGGTGTGACGCTCCATCCAACAGCCAGTTCCTCTTTCTGCAGTCCCACTGCCTTCATCCTCAGCTGGACCTTCCTGAGGCAGCCCATGTCCTCCAGCACCTCACAGCTCTTAGTCCAACTTTATATGTGCCCTCAGCCCCCTCCAGCCATCATCATGCTCTTGTTTCATCTGTCCCAGCACCCCTGACTGGGACTTAGACCCTGCTTTTGCCCACAGCAAGCAGATGAGAGCCTGAACTTTGAGGAGCAAATCCTGGAAGCTGCCAAATCCATTGCTGCAGCCACGAGCGCCCTGGTGAAGGCAGCCTCAGCAGCCCAGAGAGAACTGGTGGCCCAAGGAAAGGTAAGGCTGATAGAGGAAAAGAAATAAGAAAATGTAGGGTTGTGGTGGGTTCTCCCTTCTCCCAGGGCTGCTTGTAGCCCTCCTGCCCTATGGCAAGGGGTGCGTGGGGTGGCGAACCTCACTCCCCCTCTTAATTCTCACAGGTGGGCGCCATCCCTGCCAATGCCGTGGACGATGGACAGTGGTCCCAGGGACTCATTTCAGCCGTGAGTATTAAGGTCATGCTCAGGGGATTTGGCGGGACCCTCCTTTTGGCTCCTGCTGAAGAGATAAGAATGCTTTGCCCTTGCACTTCTCACCGGTGGAGGAAGCAGTCATGCTTCTTGCTCACTCTCCCACTAGCTGTGACATGGCATGGAAGCTGGTTGTCACCATCCCGTGCTCCACAACCTCCCTGGGGCCTGTCAGGGCGTACCCTCCCCAGGGGTCGGCTTCCAAACCCCCTCTGACAGCCTCTCTCGCTGCAGGCACGCATGGTGGCTGCTGCCACCAACAACCTATGTGAAGCCGCCAATGCAGCGGTGCAGGGCCATGCCAGCGAGGAGAAGCTTATCTCGTCTGCCAAGCAGGTGGCTGCCTCCACGGCACAGCTCTTGGTGGCCTGCAAGGTGAAGGCTGACCATGACTCGGAGGCCATGAAGCGGCTCCAGGTGAGTCCCAGACTGCCCTTCCAGCCCCAGCTGCCTCCTCACAGCTGGTCAAGGGGTGGGTGGGAGTGGGGTGAGGGCATGTGGGTGCTTCCCGGGGCTCACGCTTCCTGCCTGCGTGCCATCAGCAGGAAGCTCACTGGAGCACAGGCTCTGGGGCACTTGGACTTCACTACTAGCTGTGTGACAGGCCTGTGAGTGATGCTGGGCTGCTGAGACCTGCAGCATTCGGGGAGGGTGAACTGACAGGAATGCCTGAAATGCATGCACTGCATCACTGGCATTCGAGCGGTTAATGTTAGGGGTGGGGGGCATGTTTTGTAGCACCCTTAATCCTCAGAGGCCATGGCACACAAGAAGTTAATGCCCATGCGTTGGGGAGTTAATGTGGGGTCCCAGTGTTGGTCCCTCTCGGGGGGCCAGCAGAGCTGCCCAGTCCCTGCCCCATGGCTCAGACAGGAGCCAGAGCCCGCTGGTAGCAGCAGCGCCTGAAATGGTCATGAGCGGGTGGCAAGGCATCGAGCCATGTAAAGGAATCCCTGCCTGCAGCTCCCAGCACTCCTGGCTGCCTCTCCGGCCTGCCAGCCCGGCCTGGGGCAGGAGTTTTTTCACACACACACACACACACACCCCCCCACCACACACCTGTCTCT